CAAGCACTCGAAACAAAAAATGTCAAAAACAAACAACGTCCAAAACAATTTTTTTTTAATTCTTCACGGGGCGGGACCGGGTTTTTTTCGCCCCATGCGGGGTGGGGTGCACCGGGACAGGGCAGGGCGGATTTTTTTGCCATCACTATACTACAGGGACAGAGACGACAATGGACAATGTTCCTCGTCCCCATCCTAATTTTGCCATAAGACGGGCGATGCAATGTAGGACATAACATTTTCTATCTAGTAGACTGTTTCAAGGAAAAAATTTGTGAGCATCAAATTTCATTTGAGTTCAAGCATTTTTGGTTAGTCATGTGGGACTAACTGTTAGTTTTTGATAGTCAAAGTGAAATAAAAATACAAGTTAGGCAATAAAAGTGAACAAACTGAAGTTGGGTTACTAAAATGAACAAACTTATAAGCTTTGTCCTTATTAATAAAATGTCATCAATTTGAAGTATTTAAGGAAGTATACATACATGATCTCTGTGTTCCTTCTTCGGTTCTTTAATCTTAAACCAAAATAACAACCATATTTCGTATTTATATATCTTTATTGTTACGTACATAGAAAACTCAATTATCACAAGTTATTGATGAAGAAAAGCAGGTACAAGTGTGAATGTATAACCAAAAAAACAACCATATATCGTATTTATATATCTTAATTGTTACGTACATAGAAAACTCAATTAACACAAGTTGTTGATGATCAAAAGCAGGTACAAGTGTGAATGTAGGCTACAATATCTCAAATTGTTGCATTGGTTTATTTTTCATGAGGTTGGAGGCGAACTGGAAGGCCATGCTCTGGCGTGGGAGAAGCATAGAAAATTATTTTCTCGCTTGGAATTGCCTTTTCGAGTTTGAACCTTCTCACCACATTGTGCATAAAAACAAGTACTTCGAGCCGAGCGTACTCTTTTCCGGGACACATTCGAGGACCTCCCCCGAAGGGTACAAATGTGTAAGGTGCTGGTCCACTACCCTCGAATCTTGAAGGATCAAACTTTTCGGGATTAGGGAAGAACTTTGGATTCTTGTGCGTTGTATGGACAGTCCAAAATGTCTGCCAATATTATTAGTATAAAATGAAGTCAAAAATCAGATTTTTTTCTCTCGTGTCAAGTATTTCTTATGTATATATACCATACCTTCCATCCTTTAGGGACAGTAAAACCTGCATAGGTGAAGTCAGTGGTGGTTTCCCTAAAAGCTCCTTGAGCAGGTGGTGTTAATCGGAGTGATTCACGTGCCACATTCCACGAGTACTTCATCTTCTCGATATCCTCCCATGTTAAAAGCTCGTCTGGACCTTTCGATTTTGCAATCTCCATTTGTTCTGTAAAAATTTGGGACAAATCTCACGTTATACCACAAGAGAAAATATATTGATCATGATCTATCATGACTCGAGATGTACGTTAGCACTTTACTTTCAGACTTTTACCAATAAGTTACCTTTGAGAACACCATTATATATATGTGGAAGTTCTGCTAAGTAATTCATGACAGCAGTGACAGCGGAGCTAGTTGTTTCAAAACTGGCCACTAGTAGACCTATTATGTTATTCGAAATCTCCATTTCACTCAAGAACTGACCATCTTCGTCTTTAACGAGCAACATACAAGACAGTAGGTCTCGACCTTCAGTCTCGTTGTTAGCAATTATCTCCTTTCTTCTCTTCGTGATGATTTTCATAAGCTCGTCTCGCACCATTTTACCTCCTTTGATTGCACGGTTATAAGCTGTGCCAGGCAAATCAATAGGCACGGAGAACATTCCGTTAGTCACAAGAGCGAAGGGATCGGCCAACCTTTTTATGTGATCGGGATCAGTAATACTCAAGAACAATTTACATGCCAAGGCGAATGTGTATGTTTTCGACAAAGGGAAAACTTTCACCACTCCATTTGGGGTCCAGTCTGCATCCAAGTGTTCACGAGCGAGTGCATCCATAACCGGTATGTATTTCTTTAGAGCCTCGGGCTTGAGAATGTCATGGTGGAAGCTACGCTTAAGAGCCGATACTTCCTTCAAATTACTTCCCACGAATTCGGGAAATAGCAAGGCCTTTTTCATTGATTGTGGCCACCATGAAGTGAGAAGTTTGTTATCATTAGTGAACAGGAACTTGTTGCCTTGTGCACCACAAAATATCGCCATTTTCTCTCCCAACAACGAGGTTCGAAAAACCTCAGGTGAGTACTTACTCATCCTATCTTTAACAAATTTCTGAGGACCTTGTAAGGCAAACTCCATATTCTCTCCTAGCATTGGCCATCCCTTTGAACCCGGAGGCACTTTCGAGTCGTCGGAACCTCGTTTACGAAAGACGAGATAGAGGGAGAGAGGGAGGACTACAAGAGGGAGAATGTAAGCTAAAAAGGCATCCATTTTTCTCTAGCAAGTTAGCTATTGAAGGGTTATTTTCATAAGTGCGAATGCCTTAAAAACAAGTGCAGGAATGAGTATATATAGAATTTCTGGCATGAATTTTATGAATTCTGAGGAAGATTTTGAAAATTACACAAGACAAAAAGGGGAATATAATTTTAATTATATTGTAAATTGAGTATTGACAAAATTTGGTATTTCAGTGCATGAGAATATGGCTTTCTTGGGATTTCTCTCATTTTTCTATTTTCTTCTTTCCTAGTATATCCTTGTATTTGTCTTATTGTGTGGGCTTAAGTGGTTCTCATATTATTGGGCTTGTGTCATTAGTGGCCCTTGGATGAGTTGAATGGCTAGGATTTAATCTTGTGAGATATTTTATCATAGACCATGACTTTTTGAATTGGGTAGCTTTTCATACGCTAATGTCTCTCTCTATTTCTTAAACCGAGAGCAAGACTTAGAACAAAATCGAGAGGAACTTCCCTTTTATCATAGACCATGACTTTTTGAATTGGGTATCTTCTTTCATACACCAATGTCTCTCTCTATTTCTTAAACCGAGAGCAAGACTTAGAACAAAATTGAGAGGAACTTCCCTTTTACTTGCCGAAATGTTTAGGCTTAGGAACGACATTCCATGCTATGCAAATCACCGTCCAGAGAGAGCTAGAGAACCGGCCAGAGCCTCTTCACACTTGGCTTGGATCATCGACCAAGAAGTCTACCAAAACCGCCAAGAATCTGCCCATAAACTGACCAAAAATCAAAGTATCCAAGCCAAGTGTGAAGAGGCTCTGGCCGGTTCTCCAGCTCTCTCTGGACGGTGATTTGCATAGCATGGAAAGCTGTTCCCGAGCCCAAACATTTTGGCCAGTAAAAGGGAAGTTCCTCTCGATTTTGTTCTAAGTCTTGCTCTCGGTTTTTTACTCTGTCACTTTATGATTTCAGATTCTGTTAAGTTTCCATTTTCGGTTTATATGCATATTTAAAGGTTGGATTACATTGTATGCTGAGGTACTGAGGATGATGATTTATGTATATCTGTAAATGCAATTGATATATGTTGATTACCATATTCTATTCTGATGTTTGGAGCTATAAGAACGCTGTCATTGCATGTTTGAGCCTGTCTGAACTCTGTTAACTTGGATATTGGAGTTTATATTATGCTATTTATTCCCAACATATTGAAATGTCACCAAACATTGGAATATACATACAGCGTAGTGGGCTGTCTTTGTCCGGGAGGGCGGGCCTAGTCTCCTTTCCAAGTTGTACGTTGTTTTCGACCATCTACATTTCAATTTTTTTAGCAGGCATCTGCTATCTTGAACTGCTACGAGCATATTTGAAAACATTATAATTTTTTAAATAATTTAATGATCAAATTAAATTTAGTAACACATTTCGTAGGGTTTACAATTGCTACATCTACTTATTCATAATTCATTTTATCACATTATAATTTCAATAATTTAAAATGTTATCCGAACAAGCACTATCTATCATCAACCCCCGCTTGTGAGCCAAACATACGTTTATGTAAGTGCACTGTTCTGGGATTTGGATGCAATAAGCACAAAATTTTCCCTTAGCTCTTCTATAGAAATTTTTATTTGTTATTTTTTTAAAAAAATTTAACCTAAGGGAGCTGTTGTTGAATTCATTTTTAAATTATATAGATGGAAATGATGGACGATAAATGAGTAGTTGTAAACCCTAAAAAATGTGTGATTAAAATTAATATTTGACTTTAACTTTAAAATGGTAATATAATGAAATCCAAACCATATCAATCTGGATTAAGCAAGATTGACAAGTGCTACTAGTCGATCCATTTTGTCAAGTGTCTCTTACCCTCGTTTGAAAGTTGACTTACCATGCATTGTTTTTAGTCAACAAAGCTTTTGTTTTTGAGAAGTGTACAAAAAAAAATATCAGAAATCATACAGAATACACGCATGGAGTGAGCCCCATTTTTTAAACAATATTTAACTCATATGAGCCCACTCCCATGTAAGTATCTGTAGAGTTTTTGGTAAGAAATTTTCTGTACATGCAGAAAATTTCTTTGTTTTTACCTTTTGGAAGACAGTTCGTGCCATTTTTCCAGAACGGGCCATATCAATCTTAACGGATCCATATTCCTAAGTGGATCATATCAACCTTAACAGGTGCAAAATGGGTATGAATGCAGCCAACTTACTCATTTGGACACAATGTTAAAATTCTTGAATCTCTATTGTCTTATACTATTTTTAATACGAAGTGCTAAGTTGCAGTGGTGTTGAACACCGATTTACGTGACGGTGTGGCCGTTGTAATATTGTTCATTAATGAAGTCGAGATCTATTTTTTATTCATTATACAATGCGGCAACGTAGAGTACTTAGTACAAATGGAGCTTAAAAAATGGCACCATTGAACGAAGAGAACTAAGCTAAAATGTCGTGTGTCCAGTACATTGCATACCGAACATGCTCAACTACACGTTAGGAAAGCAGTCAAGTACTTGGCTGACATCGTTTTGAACATTTTGCTCATTGTTTTGGGACATTAATAACAGGTTTGTGTAAGAATATGACGAAGGCTCAACTACTTCTGATTCAAGTAACTTATCAAAGCTCTTCCAGTCACTAATTTGATTCCCATAATTGCTCTTATCATCTTCAGTCGACTCTTCATTCCCAAATACTGCATTACTGTCGTAACTTAAACTTTCTTTCGTTGTAAAATCAGTCGTCAACATGGCTGGGCTATCGAGTTCTGGAAGTTCAACTATTTGATTTTCTAAAATCATACCAAATGGAGACTGCTGAAAATTTGTCCCTTGGTTAATTGGATCAAAAGGTTGCATTGAACTTGAGGTGCTCGGATAGGATGAATTAGGCCTGTAATTGTTGTTGATTGATCTGGTATAGTAAACATTGTTCCAAGCTTCAAAACCTTGATTTTGATTTGGAGTTGGCTTCTTGAATGCGCGACAAACCACCCATCCTTCTTCCTGTAATGTTTGATCATATTAAAACTCTGATTTCAAAAGGTTATAAAATGTGACAACTACGTCTACTTGAATTTGTAGGTGGTTTTTTTTTTTCTAACGGCGAACAAGAGTACAAGCTTTTTCTGCTTCCTCGCAGTGTCAAAACCGACCCCTAGGAGCGCAACCTAATGCATATACATAACCATAAAAAAATTCTTAATGAAAGGAGATATGATTAGGATTCATCTCTAAGGTAGCTACATGTTTCTTTTATACTGATGAAGTACAATAAAGAAAGCTTGTCTGTCCGTTTATCAATCTTAACCTCAGAATGTGCTTTCAAAAAGAGTGATTGTCACCTTTGCAATCATTACAGATTGAAAAATAAAATGAATTTATAAAAATCATCTCAGCCGCACTTTTTGTCAAGAAGAAAAAATTACATAAAAAACAAATCTTTGAAATGAGAAATACTCAAGATTTCTGGTGTCAATCTGAAAATATACAAATATATCTACGTATTTGTTATTGTTAAGAATTGAGGTTCTATCTTAAAAGGTTAACTTTATTAAGAAGAGTAGCCCAAATTCTTATAAATTGGTCTATGTTTTCATCTTTATTCGATGTGAGATTTTATCCCTTTAACAGTTATGACATTTTTAATAATTCAAGGGAAAGTCATTTTAAGTTTTAATGTATGAACTTTCTTCCTGCAATGAGACTATTCAGATTAAATTTTAAAATCAATTAATACGTGCAATAAAATATAAAAATAAAACCAGAAATTAACAAATTTATAATGTTTCGCGCTCAATATTAGAGTTAAGAAGGTGTTTGGTAGGGATTAAAATTAAATTTTTAGTAGATTTTGATAGAAGTTTTTGAAATGTGTAGTTTAAAAGTTGTGGGATCTATGAAAGATATTGTTAAGACTTTAACTTGGATTAGGAAGAAGAAGAGTACCTGAACGGGTCCATATTCGGATGTTTGGAGCCGATATTCGTGCATGATCCAGTCAGATTTCCTTCCATTTGGAGCACGTCCTTTGTAGAACACTAATGTCTTCCTCATCCCTATCATTTTGTTGCTCGAAATTACTGCCTTATCCCTTCCGGTTGCCTTCCAGAAACCGGCAGCAGTCGCCCTATTAGTTCGTGTTCCTGTTGGATACTTTCTGTCCTTGTGACTGAAGAAGTACCACTCATTTTGTTCTTCATATCCTGATTTGCACCTTTCTGCATTTACAAAAAAATTTAATATGGATAATAAGAACCCTATACTGCCCTAAAAATGCTGTTAGGAAATAATGGGACTAAGCTCATTAGCAAACTAAAGTGAAATTGAGAAATATGCTACATAGATAATTTGATTAGATCAAAAATTTAAAATTCAAATGAATACCTTGAATATCCCAGGGCTCCATTCTGTAGAGATCGATGTCCATGATGATATCAAGATCAATTTTCATGGCGTTAACCCGTCTCTTCAGGTAGTAGCCAACGAGTTCTTCCTCGGTGGGGTGAAATCGAAAGCCTGGAGGGACACGTGATTCCATTTCCATCGTCGGTCTTCAACTTTTCCTTGAGAGCACTGTTTCGATCGACAGATATTTAGGTCAATTAATTATTGAACATACATTTTACAATCCATCTTACGGATCAAATCATTAAAGCAAACCGCGCCGAAGATGTAAAGCTACTTTTGGAACACACTCTCTTGATGAAGTTAATGAAAAAAGTTCACAAATTACAGTGAGTAAAATTCACACAACTTCGTTTTTTTAAAAATTCTCATGATTCGTTCATATATCCACTCGTGAACATTATGGTTTGATGGTCCCATGAATTGTTGCTGCATGTGTTGGAATTGTGTTTTATGAGGAAAAAATGGCAGACCAAATGTGGTCTCCCACCCAAAAACAAATGATTCATGCTAAAACATATGCTAATACTCTTATTCACCATTTGGAAACAATTTATAAAATGAATTATACATTTAGTCAAAATTAAATATTAATTTATTCACGAATTTTGAGAAATTCACCATTATTTCTCTTTGTAATTTAATTTACTATAAATTTGCCAATCCAGATTTAGTGCAGAATTAAGCAGCACACTTATCACAAAAGTGGCCGTAGAAATTTGACTCGTGAACATGGGTCATACTCATTTCTTTGAGTGCATTCAACTGCATCTCTCATATTGTAGGAGGGGTTTCCTAACTCACCCACACACCCTTCTTCACGCCATTTCTGATTCATAACAAAAATACCCAACTCCATATTTCGATATTACATTGCACACAGAGAGAATACATAGTCACCTAGCTAACAAGAGAGATTATTTAAGATCAGGGACAAGGGTCCGGAATCTATGAGTTTCCTTTTTCAACTCCCACGCTAGATCATTAGGGGACTCCATCTGACCTCAATATGGGTGAAAGCTAAAGAACTACACACATATATGCATGAATATACAAATTTACATCCAAAATCACCGTTTAAGAAAATTACTAACCACGAGTTCAACCTTGTTGTATGTGTTCTTGAGCTGCCTTTTTGGGGGAGAGAGAGAGAGGCTGGATTTCTTGGAATAGGAGGTGAATTTATTGATGAAGAGATCGAAGGACTTATTGTTTTAAATGTTGGTTAATGCTGTTGGTAAGAGGGCTCTTTATATTTATACGACAAGCAAACAAACAGTTAATGAATATGATCGATCAAGCGTAAGATTTATATATAAAATAAAGTTAATATATACATATAATGCACAAAAAAACAAAAGTTAAGGGGGGAGAGAGAGAGAGAGAGGGATTGCATATATGTTATTTGATTACGCGTGGCGTGGCGTGGGGTGGCAGATTGGATCAAAGCTTTGTTTGGACGGCGTGACACCAATTTTTCACGCCACCCTCCACCGTTATATTGTGCCCTAAGACTTTGATTTCCACTTCTCTGAAAATGAACTTGGATAGGGAACGTACCAATAAAGAGATAATTAAGTGAGGAGAAGCGGAAGCCTCATCTATCTATCCAAACATCAGGAAATTCGTGAGGCACTCTTAGGACGAAATTATGAACTTTCCGAATTCGGATTATAATAATAAATGTATAAAATCTTTATCTAGTAGTAAATCTGAATATAAAGAGAAGACATAGAGACAATATATTTTAGTGTATAACGTCGAAGAGTATGGCTAAGACAGAAAATAATAGTTATCTTTAGTTATTTTACAGATCGGGAAAGTTAATATTATCGTTTAGTCTTGTTTACCTTCAAAGGTTAAGTTAATCTCTTCTTAAATATATATTTTATTTTATCTTTGTTATCAATAAAACATGCTATTGGTTACAATAAAAACAAAAAAACTTGTCACTTGTCATTGACATTTGAATTAGCACTATAACATATTTGCATTTTGCTCTTCCCACGATCCAGCAATTCTTGTCTGTCCGCCCTTCAACATTTGGAACCAGTAGCCGGTCGACATGTGGATCACACCTCGAATTCTGAGCTGTCCATTTCATGAAGCTAATCATTTGTGCTGTCATGTATATATTTGTGGAATCGTGTAACATCCTATTTGACATCATATTCATCTAGTTAGGACTTTGACAACACATACTACAACAAATATAGTATACGGCAACGTTCATAGACCTTTTGCAACGTTTGGACGTGTCTTGCAAATCAATGTATTGCCGTAGGGGGTTTATAATAAAAAAAAACATTGATTACAGAATAAAAAGCATTGATTATAATAAAAAAACGTTGCCATAGGGGGTTTATTATCAAGAACACACAGGTCAGGTAGATCCCAAATTACCAATATTCTTCAACAAATTAAAAAAAAAAAGCATTGATGACAGAAAATCCCACATCCCAGAACACGAAACAAAATAAATAAATTGAAAACTTACCTTGAAGATCTTGGCGAATAGAGAAGTCGGTGAAGAGAGGCGAAGAGAGAACTAGAAGTCAGCGAAGAGAGGAAATTGGCGAAGGCCGAAGAGAGAACTAGATGAAGTCGGCGAAGAGAGGCTGAGAGGGAATGAGAAATGAAATGATTTAGGGAGTTAGGGTTTTTCTTTTACCTTTCATTTGACAAAAAAAATCGTTTTATCATATTGGCGAGTTGGGTCGGGTTCGGTGGATTTTTTGGAGTTGGATGAGTCAACCCACAAAAAAGTCACATTTCACAACGTTTATCAAACGTTGCGAAAGGTAAGACATTTAACAACATTTATCAAACGTTGCTCCACAACGTTTGATAAACATTGCGAAATGTGACTTTTACCAACGTTTGATAAATGTTGCTAAAAGTCTTACATTTCGCAACGTTTATCAAACGTTGCGGAATGTAAAACCTTCCGCAACACTTAATAAACATTACTAAAGGTGTCTATCGCAACATTTTTCTAAAAAACGTTACCAAAACTCATTTATATTAACCAATGGCAACATTTACTTACTAAAATGTTGCCAAAAAACCCTTTTGACAACATTTGTCAACAAATGTTGCATTTTTAATATTGCAAAAGACCATTATTGGCGTAGTGGCATAATTATCAATCAATGTTGTACACTTAAATTTATTATGAGTCTTAGAAAAATCATCATCTTGGTTTTCTGTATGTGCAGGCTTTGGCTTAATGTATGTCCGGTGATTAATTGACTATTAGACACTAATCAAATTTGCCATAAATATTATGAAAATGGTTTATTCTCTATATTTCATTAGAATCAATAGATTTTATCTTGTATTAGATTAGATCGTACTATATTTCTTACTCTCACTGTATTTTAAAAAAAAAAAATGTGAAAAAAGTCAAAGAGAAAGTGTAATTAAGTACAATTTACAACATGCTTATTCGTAAGAACAATCAACCCATAAGGAGCCAAAAAAAAAGTAATATTTTTTGGTTCCAACAAGTCATAAAATATACACTTGTAAATATAGATGCTGATAGGACTTATGGCCCTACAATATTTATCAATAGATTGTCTTGTCCTTATTAGAATGCTATAATTTTACAACAAAAAGATAAAAGAAGAAGAAAAAAAATTAAAAAAATATCACTTTCCCATTTATCATGCCAAATTCTAACGCTTGCCCCATTGCCAATCATGTATATATAGAGTCTGAACATACTCTCCAAATGAAGTACTTCACTTTGTTAGGAACATGTGCTGACCAGGTATGGTATGTGTGACTCAATCAAATGTGTTCGACTGAATATGCAGGAGTGGCAGCCCAAATAATTTGGTCATTCTTTGCACATGCTTTTTGTATGGGTGCAAGCCTATCTTATATGGGATTTTTGAAGTTAGTCTCTAACGAATAGTGTTTTAAGGTTAGATTAATCGTGGATGATAAAAGGCTTGATGCTTTTCTTCTACTAGTTGTGACTTTTGGAAGACTAAGTTGTGTTTCCTTACATCATTATTCACTTTATTGTCTAATTCTATTGTGCTCGTTTAAATATATAAATAAAATTTTATTCAGATCAAACAATTTCATGTATTTGAATTATCATTTACTAGAGTTGAACTTTCCTCGTAGGATCATCTTAGAAGATCCTATAACGTGACACATCAACCACTTCTATAGAGTACTTGATATACACAAATATATATAAAACTTGGGGTTGGCAACAAATGATTAATTCTTGTCAGATGGTGACAACCAAAAATAAGAAATTAAAAAGGAAAATGTAATAATGATAATATGGACGAACACGAGTTTTTGTATAAGGTTAATTATCCAGATATTTATCAGCATTATTATTCTAGAATTGTGTTATTAACACTAATTGACAAATTAAGTTACCAAGTGGTCCTTTCACTCAAGTATGGAAAGCTTTGTATGGTCGGCAAGTAACTTTTCCTAATTACGTCCAAACAATGAAGATACACTTAATCCCTGTTTGGCCTCCATTTTTCAGATAATACATTTTTTCATAACTCATTTTTACAGGGACTTAGTATACAATATTAAATTGTACGAAAAATATGATAATGAATATTTTAACATTTTCTTCTCGTTTCTCTTATAAGATCATACCTTAATAGTCTAAGCATAACACGCGCAAGTAAAACTATCTCAATTGAAAAAACCAGTGCATTAAATATAAGAGACGAGGCTTTCGATGAAAAAAGCTAGGACTACTGAAGTGCTAGCCAACACACTGACAATCATAGTTATCGATCCCTCGCAGCTTCTCTTTGTTGAAGACGAGATATAAATAAATATAATTTTTTGGTAACATTTTAACCTTTTAGATTAGATGATTAACATGGTATTAGAGAAGTCGACTAGAAAACAAGATGACTTCAAACCAATGGTCAATAATATGTTAATTATGAAATCTTAATCTTTGTAGATCGTGGTTAAAGTATCATCACTTCAATCTTAGAAAATCTTGAGTGATCTACCGACCCTCTTCTTTTTTTAACTTACTCTCTCTGCAATTTGCTACTTAAATATAATTAATGTACCGATAATGGATTTTGTTCTTTCAAAGTTTGATTAATCAACTAAAGTAAGATGGATTAAATTCAC